GGAGCTGCCCTTCCTTGAGGCTTCAAGGATGCGAGAACAGAACTGGAATGCAGTGTTATCCTCTCTGGATGTTGCAAGAGCCTTGGGAAGCTCTCTCCTGGAAGCCGTGCTTCCCAAAGGTAGCACCAGAAAGCTTTTCTGCTTTTTTTTTTTGCTTTTTTTTTTCCAGAGAAGTATGCCACAGCACAGTCTTCACAGCCTGACATTCCTGAAAGCTGCTTTTTTTTTTTTTTTTTTTTCTTTGCCCTGTTGGTCTGATAATCTAAAAATGATTTTTCTCTTCCAACAAAGCTCACCTTGCTGGTAGCAATGCTGTTCTGGGGTTTAGCGCGCTGCTGCGTTGGGTGGACTCTGCCGGCTGGGACATCTGGTGCCCTGCTGCTAGAAGGGAATAATGGGAGCTCGGGTCTTCGAGGCCGTCCAGGACCTCTTGAGTCACCTCTCCAAATCCAGGCAGGCTCAACTTCATTCCTTCGCCTTCAGCGAGCCCAGTTCTGCGGCTCAGAGTGAACCTTTTAGGCTGAGGAATCCTTGAAGCCGGTGGCTGGTCGGGCTCGTTTGCGGCGAACTCCCGGTGTTGCGGTCACACGAAGTAGGGTGAGCCGGGACCGGTGTTTCTGCTGACGCGCCGTAACGCCGTGCCTGCCTTCCGCGTGCTTCACGGTGGGGACAGGCATGCATGCGGGCAGGGCAGCTGGGCTGCTGCTGGCTCCAGAGCTCAGTAAACCGTGATAACGTGATGGTTTTGAACCCCAGAGTAGGTGTCTGCCGCACCGAGCTGTGCGAGCGTGTCGGCTGCCGCTGGGAGGAGGTGGTTTCTGCCTTCTGCCTGTGGGAGGGGGGACACGGTTTGTGAGCGCTCTGCGGTTCAAGAGCAAAAACTGTGAAACCCAGAATGACTAGCTGTTATTTTGCAGACAGACAGAGAGAAACTGTTTTAAACTGGAAGAGGGAAGATTGAGATGAGATATTAGGAAGAAATTTTTTGTTCTGAGGATGGTGAGCCCCCGGCGCGGGTTGCCCCGAGAAGCTGTGGCTGCCCCATCCCTGGAGGTGTTCAAGGCCAGGTTGGACGGGGCTTGGAGCAACCTGGGCTGGGGGGACGTGTCCCTGCCCAGGGCAGGGGGTGGCACTGGATGATCTTCAAGGTCCCTTCCAACCCAAACCAT